TGCGCCGGGGCGTGCTGCGGAATCAGGGTTAGGTTGGCCTGCCTTGCGTCGTCCTGCTCATCCTCGCGTGCAAGTGTGCCCCAGGGGATGTTGGGGTCAGACTCCTCTTCCTCCTCCTCGTTGTCGTCGCTCTCCTCCGAGCCTTGAGGGCGATTTCCACGCTGTAGCCTCGCTCTTTCCTTTGCCTTCTTCCACTCCTTCTTCGCCTTCACCGCCTCAGCCGCGGCGTGGTTCGCCACCCTCCTAGCCATGTCCTCTGGCAGTGGCGGGGTGGACTCATGGGCGAAGAGGCTAGGCTGCAAATCCCGGCGCTTAGGATCTGAGAATAGAGGAGGGTCGCCCAAAGAAAGAAACTCAAAGAAGGCTTACCAGTTTGACAAAACCCGCATCCGGCCGCATCGCGGGATGCCCCGGGACCGGGTACACCGGGGCGAGATCCACCGATGGATCCACCGGGCACTCCATCGCCTCCTTGATGCGTTGTGATGTTTCACCGACGCTGAGGGCCTTACCGGCGACCATCACCGTCCCTTCGGGCGTGGAATCCGGCATCATCCGGTACATTGGAAGAGCGTGCGCCATTAGCGGCGCTAGCCTCTTGACGTGGTATGCTCTGACAACACCGGTCCTGCGAAGACCGTAGCCCTTTAGAGTCACGATGGCTTTGAGAAGGTCACCGAGCCTCTTTTGCTCCTTCGCGATGGGCCCGTACCTCCACGCGTCTAGCGCCTCCTCGATCAGGCGGCCGATGAAGATCGGCAGGGGGGCGGCATCGTCGTTCCTCGGGTAGAACAAAAGCTTATGCCACCCCTTGTTGGACTTCGACAACAGGATGGACATGTACTCCGACGACCGGCTACCTCAAAGATGGATGCTCGCACATCCCATCGGCACTGCCAGGTTTGGCTTCTTCCTCTCCTTCTTCTTCGTAGCTCGACGGCGAAGAAGTACTTCCATAACTCAAAGTGGGGCTCGATCCCCAGATACCCTCGCACAGCAGCGACGAAGGCCGAGATGTGTTGAATCCCGTTGGGAATTCAGATGTTGCAGGTCAAGCTTATAGTAGTGCAGTAGCCCTCGGAGGAATCGGTGGGGAGGAGTCGCGAGCCCACGCTCGTGGAAGGGGACGAAGAAGACGATGTAGCCGTCGGGTGGTGACGGCTCATCCTCGCCACCAGGTACGATCCACTCCATCGCCGCGGTCCTTGCGTGGAGAAGGCCCTTCATAACTAGAACCTCCATACGCACGTGGAGAACGTTGGAGCGAGGCCATGGCTCCATGGAGGAACGGGGATGGCGATGTAGAAGATCCGACAGTGGCATAGGGCTAGAGAGCGAGAACTTCGCCAGCGGCGGAGCGGAAACGGGGGAATGAAGGCCGGAACTCAAGAGCAAAAGGCAGAAAGACTAGAGGGGCAAGGATGCGGCTGTGCATATGGAGACTGGGGAGAAACGGCTATGTTTATAAGGTAAGGGTAGAATGGGCGAGAGGCGAACCATCCACCTAAATTTACGTGCCCCACGCCTCGCCAGATCCATTTCCTTCGGGGGTCGTGCCCTCACCGTTCCACGCCGCACCAGTCGCATCGCTGCCTTGAGAGACGAGTGCAAGCCTATCCAAATCTTTCCCATGAAGGATCCACCGGACGACGGTTTGCCTTCAAAGGCTATGGGCTACCGCAAGTAAGTGGGATACGGAACTAAAAACGCTCCCACAGCCCATTAACACCCAAGAGTTCGAAGGCTGGCCCACTAGTGGGTTCATGGCCGCTCTAGGGCACCCTAGAGTGAGGGGAGGTTAAGGACGAGCTCGCTAGGGGCCAATACCCGAGGCACACGAAGCGCCACGGGCGTCTCGACCCTCGTTTCGAGTCTTGGGTGATGCAAGGTCCATGATTTTCCCCCAAAGAAAGGCATCGAGCCCTCGGACCGGTTGAATGGATCCGAGAACTATATGGACCGCCACCAAGAATCTAGAGTCAGTCACTAGCTGATCTCAAACCGGGCCCCACGAAGGGGATGCCGAGGCTCCACTCGAACAAGCCCATTAACAACTCACTGAGCACCGTGCTCTGTCCAGCGAGGAAAGCACAGCACGGCTCAGCCCCTCCATTCTAGCGAATGAACGCGTGAGGGACGACGATCACAAGGCGAACCGACCCCCCGACCGGACCCCTGCTACGCTGCGGGGGCTCGGCATCGCAAAGAGACCAAACATGTGGTCGCAGACAAATGACGAGTCACCTCCGGTTGCGGAAACCACGGATGGACTGCAAAGTGACAATAACGAACAGTACTCCGTGCGCCCTCAAACGATGGATCGCAAAAAGCCTTTGTAGGAGTGTCTCACTCCTCCAAAGGCTCGAGGGCTACTGTTGGATATCTATATCTAGGTATTCGAGCCAAAGGATTAACGAGCATCACGTCGGCTCATCCGATGGTTAAGGACGCAACTGCGGCCTCGTCCGACCCCCAGGGGCCGAGCCACGCCTTGTCCGACTCCGATGATGAGGTTTTCGCCTTGTCCGACCTCGAGACGTGGGCTCCGACTCTGAGGACGAGGTTTCCGCCTCGTCTGACCCCGAGGCGTGGGCTCCGACTCCGAAGATGAGGTTTTCGCCTCGTCCGACCCCAAGGCGTGGGCTCCGACTCGTCCGGACCCACGGGGAGGGCTCCGCCTCGTCCGACCCCCAAGGGTTAGATTCCGTCACGCCCGACCCCAGGGCGAGATTTCCGCCTCGCACGTTCCCTGAGGGTCGGATTTGCTACCGGACAAAAAGCAGTGGCCCCAGGGTGGGACCCGAACAGCTTCAACCACTACGGCGTGGAGGCGCATGCCCGGGAGCACGTCTCGGGCATGTCCTGATGCGACTGGCGATCGCATCAGGCCATGCTGGGAGCCTCACGTCGCCCATCGCGTCAACAAGCCAAAGACTATCTTTGGCCAACTCCTCGCTTAACCACACCGTCCAACGCCGATCACCGGGCGCTAGTTGATCGGCATCGCATCGCCAAATTTCGTATGGCCTCTGTCAGGGGACCCTTTGACCATTCCTTCCGCTCGGATGGGATGGAAGACAAGAACGGCACACGACGCCCGCACGTATGCTGCAGCGGCTAATAGGACCCCGGTGCAACGCCGTTGCCACTACGATCTACAGGGTCAGCGGGACCCACGCGAAGAGGAGGACGACACACCCCCGAAAGCCTTATTTCTCTTTTTTCCCCTCTTCCCTTCTCTGGGTCTCTGATATCCTGTTCTCTCTCTCTTGGTCTATAAAAGAGAAGGCAGGACACCGTTCAGAAAGGTAGATCTATCGATCGATCGAGCAATAGAAGCATCGAGCAATCAAATCATAGAGACTTGAAAGCTCCTCCCTTTCTCGCCAGTTTTGTAACCCTCTACTACAAACTCAGTGCTATTAACACGAGCAGCCTAAAACTGGACATAAAAACATTCGATCCGAACCGGTATAATACTTATGTCCTCGTCCGGGTCATACGCACACTGTTACAAATTTCGTGTTTACTCGAATCACCCACAGCGGGTAGGTGTCACCGGCAGCGCTGCGGCGGCCTGGGGGCGACGACCTCGGAACAGCACCCCCAGTCCCCGGCAGCGGCAACAGATGGACGTCCGGCGCAGGCGGGTCTCCAAAACTGGCCCCCTCGCACGTCGCAGTGGAGGCCGCATCTAGCCCCCTCCGCGGGGGCGGTGGAGCCTCCAGGATGCGTCGCAGACCCTCGGACAACGGCGGCGGAGCCACACCTTCCCCAACTCCGGCATCCGTGCGTGGCTGTGGTGTAGGCGGCCGCGGGGCCCCAGATCCGGCACTCACGCGCTGCAGCAGAGAGCCCGCGGCAGCAGAGCCCGCTCCCGGTTCCAGGGGCACGCCGGCGGAGGAACCCGCCGCTGGCGGCGCTGGAGGCCGTGCCGCGTTCACGTGCTCGTCCGAGCGCGATTGAGGAGGGGAGGGGGAAGTTGATGCAGGAGGGAGGAGGAGGAGGAGGAGGGTGGGGGAGGGGAGGGCGCCGGGGCGGCGGTGGCGGGGGTGCCAGGGCTCCTAGTGTTGGGAGCGCATCGCCCTCTCTCCAGTGTGGTGCCTTTTAAATCTTTTGGAAACGAACGAGACCAATCCACAGAGGGTCCATATTACAACAGCTGATTACAACAAGAGCTGTTGCGCATATTGATTACTACAACAGCTAGTTCATCTGGAGTTCTGGACTTTTCGAGAAAAGTCTTTCTGAAAAACCTTCGATCTGGAACAATCTGCGCAACAGCTTCCTCATATATATAGCTATAGGCCCCTGGCTGGCCCTGGTTCACCACACCCGCGAAGGCGAGAATTGTGGCTGGGGAAGTGGGGAGCCTCAGTGGCCTGTGACTGAGAAGCAACTGCAGATGATGAAAAATTTGCTCAGCGCTTCAGTTTCTGGTTTCATGGCCATTTTTCTCCAGAGAAATCTCAGCTTTCGTTGCCTCTGATGTGTTGGGCCGTCTGCAGGTTGGGCAACATCAGGGACTAAGCACGAAACTCCATCAAACAAACCCAAGAGGACAAATGCTGCGACAACATCAGGGACTAAGCACGAAACTCCATCAAACAAACCCAAGAGGACAAATGCTGCGACGCGGCAGAGCGGCGCCGCCGGGTTTCCGACGCGAGTTCAGCCGATTTGTACCATTGTTTTTCCCCCGTGAAGCATACGTAAGTAACAAGCTTTCATTCCACAAGATGTACAGTATTATACAAGGAATTTTACATGGCCTCTCTATTTCCTCACACAAGCTATGAAGCTAACAATACCCTTATGGAGCAAAACTCTATCAACCATCTAAAAGCCTGCAAGTTTTGTACAGCTAGGGAACAAGGACGAACTACTACTAAACTCTAAGAAGAACACTCAACAGAAGCACTGTCTCCTGCTTTTGCATCGGCTAGTAGTACATACCAACCTCAGTGACGCTGTGAATCTGATCAGTCCTTTGAGATCCATCAGTTGTAGCTCGGTCCTCTGCTGAATTTCTCCCTTGAGGCAGCAGCACCAGCAGCGGCGTTCCTCGGCACCACGAGGTTGCTGATGGTCCTCACGATCTGCCGCTTGAGCTGCCCCCTCTTCAGTGGCGGCCTCTTCTCCTTTGAGCTCAAGTTGCCGCTGCTGTTGCTGTGCTGGTAGGCGTAGTACTCCATGGATGACTGCCTCTCTCTCTCTAGTCCCTGCTTCCCTTCTTGCGATGCGTGTTCTTTTCGATCGGTGCTTGAAAGCCAGGTGGTGGGTGGTGCTCACTTGTGTTTTTGTGTGTGTTTAGAGGATGGCAGATGGTGGCAGGTAGTATTTATAAAGGCCAAGCACATATCACATCGGGGCTATGCGTTGCCTATTTGCGATGCGTGTTCTTTTCGATCTGGTATTCTGGTGCGTTTATTTTTATCCAAAAAAGTCACTTGGTGTATATATTTACCGTTCTTTGAAGGAACAAATTGACTACTTCTGGGCCACGGTGCCTAATTCTAGAGTGAACGTGCGATCGATGCACTAATCAGGGAATCTAATCAGAGGTGCAACTAATCAGAGGTGCATCTTAGACCAGCGACCAGTCAGACCGTCAGACTGGTCAGCCCAGCTCGAGTTCGAGCTCGTGACCAATCACCGACGAAACTGGACGCTCTCCTCCTCGACGTTTCTAGGGGTTGTCTCGTCGATTCACCGTTGCGTCTGCACTGTTAACTTCTGATGAACTGAACCTGTCATCCGAGTTGTACTGCAGCAGCACATCAAGCCAAGCCTGGCGACATCATCATCAGTGTTTTAGTGTCAGGCACACCACTAATCTCTGATGACTACGGGACTAAAAACACGATTAAGCAGCACGTGCTACAGACTGACTTTATCTGTGAGATCGTGACTAAATACAAAGTCCACCAGACGTCATGCATGTCACATGTCACTGAACGCTACCTCCTCCACCATTTCATGGACGGGGGAGAAAATGGTTCAGTGTATCTCTCTCAGTCTGGCAGATAAGCCTCCACAGGCTTGAGGTGTCAGCGCAGGTGCCGTCGCCGCAGCATGCACCGGCTCACCGAGCGACACCCGCCCGTCCGCCGATTGGTCCACATTGCTAGCAGTAGCAGCCGCCCGTGACCTTATCTCACGAGTCACGAAGGCACTTCAGTCCAGAGTCCTGACCGCCTATCTATTTGCCATGTGACCCAATGTTTGTTACACGTGCGTTTGCCTTGTTTAGATTGTTTCAAAATTTTAAGTTTTTTCATTCTCTCTCCATCACATCAATTTTTGGACGTATGCATGAAACATTAAATGTAGATAAAAAAATAACTAATTACACAGTTTGGTTGTAAATCACGAGACGAATCTTCTGAGCCTAGTTAGTCCATGATCGGATAAAGTTTGTCAAATATAAATAAAACGTGCTACAGTATCCAGATTGCAAAAATTTACCATCTAAACATGGCCTTATTTTTGTACTACGAGTATAGTAATTTGAGATACTACTAGTACATCGATCTGCAACGCCACTCGATGTGATGTCGTCCATCCACACGGCTCAGGAGCAGGTTGGTTTTCGCATGCGTTCCTTTAAGGCTTTAACCTGATTCCACCTTCGTGTTATTATACTCTAATGGAGCCAACACTACTAACTTAGAGGGTGTTCGGCTGGCCGGTGGCTGGCTGGCTAGCCCACTCACGAAAGCACGGCTCATATGAACAGTGTTTCCAGACAGGATAACAATCAGTCGGAATATTTATTTTTCAGTTTCATCGAACAGGCTCTTAATTGAAAAGATATGGCCAGTTGGAAAGAGAGACAGCCGGGACACCAGTACACCACAACATCTAGCGTACTAGTACATGAACTCGCCCTCAGCTTAGGCCTTGTTTAGTTTTTCAAAAAAAAAATTACACTATATCCCATCGAATATTTGGACACATATATAAAGTATTAAATATAGACTAAAAAATAACTAATTACATGATTTGTGACTAATTTACAAGACGAATCTTTTAAGTCTAATTAGTCCATGATTTGACAATGTGATGCTACATTAATACATGTGCTAATGACAGATTAATTAGGTTTAATAAATTCATCCCGCGATTTATTGAACAGATTCTGTAATTTATTTTTTTATTAGTATCCGAATACCTCGTACGACATCTCCATATGACACTCGATGTGACACCCTAAAACTTTAAGATTTAGGCCATGTTTAGTTCTTTAGGCACTTCTAAAATTCCTGTCACATCAAATGTTTGGACATATGCATAGAGTATTAAATATAGATTAATTATGAAAATAATTGCACAACTTGCGACTAATTTACGAGACGAATCTTTTAAGCCTAATTAGTCCATGATTTGACAGCGCGGTGCTACGGTAACATGTGCTAATGACAGATTAATTATGCTTAAAAATCGTCTCACAAATTAGCCTCCGTCTATGTAATTGGTTTTGTAATTAATCTATATTTAATACTTTTTATTAGTATCTAAATATTTGATGTGATATGAATTTTAAGAGTGACTAAACAACCAAACACCCTAAGGGGCCGTTCGTTTAGGTTAATTCCTGGCTCGAACACTTCCTGACGACGGTTGGCCATATAAAATAGGGCCTTATTTAGATTGAGGTTAGGAATTAGTATTTAGTCACTGTAATATTTTCGTTTGTATTTGACAATTATTATCCAATCATAGCCTAACTAGGCTCAAAAGATTTATCTCGTAATTTACAATCAAACTGTGTAATTAGTTATTTTTTATCTATATTTAATACTCCATGCATGTGTCTAAAAATTTGATGTGATAAAAAAGAGAGTGAAAAAACTTGTAACCTAAACTAAGCCTAGAATAACCTTCCTGGCCGGATCGGTTCGGTTCCGGCTCTGGATTCCATACGCAATCGTGCATGCTTCGGAAACCCGCCCGTCTTGCTCGCCACCCGGTTAAACAAACCCGGGGCCTCTGCGTGGTTTACTGGTTTAGGCGCATAAATTCCGTGACTACTTGACTACTATAGAGTAGCATTTATGAGCTGATCTCGTTCACATAGAGGCTCATTCGGTTTAACTTATAATTCGCACTATTCAGTTTATTTTTTTAATTAATAATATTTTTTTTATAATAATTCAGCCGAACAGTATTTTTAGTCAATTCAGCCAAGTTTCAGCGAGCCGAATGAGGCCATGGGCCTCGTGAGACCTGGTCATGCTTGTCGCGGGAAGCCAGTCAAGTTTGGGGTGTTTGATCCGATGACTAATATTTAGGAGATATCATGTAAAGATGTCGTATGAGGTGTTCAGATACTAATAAAAAACAAATTACAGAATCCGTCGGTACTACACGAGATAATTTATTAAGCCCAATCAATCCATTGTTAGCGCATGTTTATTGTAGCACTAAATTATCAAATCATGAACTAATTAGACTTAAAAGATTCTTCTCACAAATTAGTAATAAACTATACGATTAGTTTTGTAATTAGTGTATACGTCAAACATCTCCTGTTCCTGCAAAGAAATACGGAGTAATAGTAGTATGAACGAGCACACCAAGTCACCACCTAGTAATAGTAGTATGAACGAGCACACCAAGTCACCACCTGCACTGATGGATGCATCGAACTAGTGTAGCTATCAAAAAAAAGTGTGTCCCTGCCCTGCCTATAAATCCCCTGTCCAGCCAAAGCTTCCGGCATCGCATCCACATCAAGCTAGTGAAGTGAGCACTTGAAAAATCGAAACACACACAAGGCAGAGCAAGGAAGCAACAGAAGGAGGCAAGAAGAGGGGAGAGGAACCATGGAGTTCTACTACCAGTACCTGAGCAGCGGCGGCTACAGCACCAAGGAGAAGAGGCCGCCGCTGAAGAGGGGCCAGCTGAAGCGCCAGATCGTGAGGACCATCGGCAAGCTCGTGGTGCCGGGCGGCGACGGCAGTGGCGGCCCCAACCAAGTCCAAGCGGCGGGCGGGAAGTTCTGAAAGGGAACTGAGCAACAACTGAGTTGCGAAGTTGCAAAATTCATGCATGCTTAGCTAGTTAGAGTAGCTCTGCTTCGACGCTCCGTGTGTATATAAATATTACATGTCATGATTAGTAGATCGTATCGACCATGCTTATCAGTTATGATATAATATTTTTCTCTCATAACAAAACAGCATCGATCGACTTATAAGCCAACTAAACGATCTAAGCGAACAGGATATAGTTTTTTTTCCCCATTTTGACTCGTGCGAGGGTTTCGGCGTCGAGTGAGTCCTGTTCAGCTTCCCTTCACATGTACAGCGCTACACAACCATGGACTACAATTAGAGAGGTTTCTGCACGCACGATTGTTTTGACAAATGATCATTGCATCCAAAATCTGCTCTCATCCTCAGCAGCTTTCTGTCATGAGTAGGAAGCCGTGGCCAGTTTGGTTCCTGCAGTGTCTCGTAAAATTTCTGTCACATCGAATGTTTAACATATGTATGGAGTATTAAATATAGACTAATTACGAAATTAATTATATAACTTACAACTAATTTACGAGACGAATCTTTTAAACATAACTAGTCCATGATTCGACAACGTGGTGCTACAGTAAATATGTGCTAATGACAGATTAATTAAGCTTAAAAAAATCGTCTCGCAAATTAGCCTCCATCTATGTAATTGGTTTTATAATTAATCTATATTTAATACTCCTTATTAATATCAAACATTCGATTTTAAGAACCAATAACCATACACCCCCACGTCGTCCCGAACCGCCACCCAACGCGCGCGATTTTCCAAGCCGCTTGCGGCTGCTGCAGGAGCGAGCCCATCGTGTCAGACTGTCAGCGAGGGATCCAGCTCCTCAATTTGGGATCGGCAAGCCGAAAACGACGGAGAGAGTAGGCAGGAAGCGCGCGTTGCTGTCCACGAGCGACGCGCGAGCGCAGCTAGCATCTAGCAAGCGTGGACGCACATGGATGGACGTGGACCGTTTCTCCTGTCAAGCTTTGGCCCAGTAGCTGTCAACCAGGGACGGGACGATACGGGCATGTTTGGTTTCCTGTATGCGGCTCAACCAGGCTCGCGGGATGCAACAACCGAATGTTTGGTTACCTGTACCGATGTTTGGGTCTGGTCTACGTGGTGCAAAAAGCATCCTTTAGGCAGGCTCTGCAGATACGGAGAAATCGAGCGTTTCCCGGCGGCCAGGCTAGCCTGATACACGAGGTGCATGTGGGAGAGGTGCGCGGCGCAAAAAGTCATCGGCTCGGGACGGACAACCAACAACAATGCGCACTGTTTGGGTCGACGCAAGTAACCAAACGCAGAGACCTTGCATGCGTTCGGCCTGGCCGTAGAGAGCCTAGTTCTCTGCTACGAGCCTGGCTCCGGTGGGCAGTGAACCAAACGCGCCCTACATTTCTCGTGTCTGGATTTGGCCCACTACGGCAGCGCAGCTAGTTTCCCCGTCTAGTTCGGCCCATTGGGTCATGAGAAACTTGGAGGAAGAGGTGGAGACGAAGATGAGACGTCGAACACAAGCCGGAGGTCCGTTCTGATAGGATTTCGAATTTGCCTCGGCCCTTCATGACCATTCTATCATAAAACAGACGTCTACAATGTATTCGGACTCCGTTTTCGACGACTCACATATGGATGAAAAGATAATTTCATAAGCTAACAAATGATTTTGGTTTAAGGTCCAAATTCCATCAGAGTCAACGGGAATCGTCGAAACAAGTCAGCGTCAACAATCTGTCACGATGCTGCGTCACCATATTTGGTCCATTGGGCCGTGTATCTTCTTTGAGCCCGTTAGGGGGACGCGTCCAGGGGGGTGACGACCCGAAGACCTTTATAATTAGTCGCCACCACCATCATTAGGTTTTGGATTTTGCTTAGATCATTCTGTCCTTGATAGTCGCCATTTCATCGGTTTGTGCGACCCCACTTTGAGAACTTAATCATACATCTGCAATTTGTCCCATACTTTGAGCTGCGTACTTTTGGGTTCTTGCTATTGTTCTTCGTTTCGTAGGTAGGGATTAGCCTTCATGGCGAGGTCAACCGGTTGGTGACATGGTTGATAACCAGAGGATTTGTGGTGCTAAGATTGTAGGGTTCGGGTCTTTTGATCTGAAGCGGATCAGTGTGTCATGCTCTGCCAAAAAAATGATAGTTATCTTCATCTATGGGAGACCTGGTTTGACCCACATCTGACGGTCGACATTATGTGTTGCGTGGATCCAACGACTATAGGGTTAACGGGCGAGTCTGCCACCCATGGAGTGGCACTAGATTCATGTTTAGAAAAGATTTCTGCTTTGATCGAATGGCAAGACAAAGCTCAATATGAACCAAGCCTCGCGCCCCGACGTCCGGCCCTAGGCCTGCGCCCGGATGAGGCTCCCATTCGCCTGCGCCTGCACCCCACTCCGCGATGTACGCTTGAATAAAAAAACTACGACGTACATAGCCCCATCCGCCCAACGACCATCCCGCTCTAGAGGGCAGCGTCCATCCGTGCGGAGCTCCCTCGCTTGTGCCCGACACACGCAACTCCCTCGTCCCTTGCCCATCGCCCATCCCTCGCCCGTACGGAGATTAGGTCGAGCTCGAATTGCCATAGCGAGATGGGGGGAAGGGAAAGGGAGGGGAGGTAGAGGAGAGGAGAGGAGAGGGTGAGGCGCACTACGTGTGAAAGACGTGAGGTAGGAGCCAAAGCTTTGCGGTAGGACGCTCTCCGCCGCCACCGGCACGGTGCAACACCCGATATACTTTTAAAACATCCAGATAAAACATATGCAACGTATGTCTGAAGATAGATGAAACACTTGAAACATGTGTGTATAGCCATTGCAACATGTGCAACACCCAAATCTACTTTTGAAACATCGAGATAAAAACATTTGCAACATAAGTCTGAAATAGATGAAACACTTAAAACATACGTGTATAGCCTTGCAACATGTGCAACACCAAAATCTACTTTTGAAACATCCAGATTAAACATTTGAATCAAATGTCTAAAACATAGACTTGAAACACTTGAAACACATCATCGTCGATGGCCAGGGTCTACCTGGTGGGGAACTACGGTGGCTCCACGTACGACGAAGGAAAGCTCGGGAATGAGGCTCCACATGGTGGCTCTAGCGGTGGCGGCATAGATCTACACCAAGGCGTGCGCTCAGCGGGGTCAGGGAGCTCAGGGGCGTCCGCATGGCCGGCTGTGAGGCGACTGGTGGCCGAGACGATGTCGACGGGATGGAGATGGCACCGCAGGCAGCAACGTATGATAGGTGGATGCAGCACCACGGTGATTGAAGGCACTGAAGAAGGCCTCGATGGGTGGCCTCGTGCTTCCTAGGGTGAGCACCCTTACGCTGGAGAAAGAAGCGGCGCTGTCTTACGGACAGCGTGGGATAGGGGTGGATGTGGCGCCGTGGCGCTGGAGGGCGCCAGAGAAGGCCGCAGTGAGCGGCCTCGCACTGCCTGTGACGAGCCGCCTGATGCTGGTAAAGGGAGCAGCGTTGTTTTTTCTATGAAGCAAACTGACTAGCGGCGTTGGAAGGATAACCAGCGCTTTCAACTCCTTTTCTTCACCAACTTATTCTCCTTTACAAATGTGCTAACACCACCAAGTGTACAACACATTGTGCACGTGTGTTAGCTTTTAACAAACATTTTTCAAGGAGTTAACCACTCAACTTGCCGCGCCACTCGATCCTAGCAACGATACAAAGTTAGATTACTTGAGTGGCACTAGATGATCGATATGCAAACAAGTTTGCCCCTCTTGATAGTACGACCATCTATCCTAAACCCAGTTATGCACTTCTCTACACAACCTATGATCGGTGAAATAAAATGCCCTAGATTATACCTTAGCCTTGTGCATTCTATTCCAACTCCTTCGATATTGATGCAACACATGCACCAACCAATCACCAAATGATATGATCCACTTCATATCATCACGTGACCGTATTGGTTCATCAATCTTGACTTCACTTGATTTTCACCGTTACCTTCGTCCATCGGCGTCAAGTCTTGCTCAAACTTCACCGCCACGCGGTCCATCGCTCCAAAGCCTCCAACTTGCCCATCACGTTTGCAACCGGTCTATCAAACCAAGTCTTGTCTTTATCTTCTCCACCTTAGTCACATGTCTCAATGTCATGTCTCATATGTAATGATCTCCTTCATCACATGTATGAGCTTTGCACCAAGTTCTAGCCATCTAACCTCCATGACATGTATTGCTCACACACTTGTACCTGTGGACTAATCACATATGTATCTCACTCAAATACATATTAGTCCACCTAAGGTTGTCACTCAATTACCACAACTAAACAAGTACCTTTCACCTACCTATCAGCCTCATCGCTATGTCGGTTTCCCACTGCATTTGAGGATGCATCTAAGTTGTTCCTTAAGTCAGTTTGATCCAAGGGCTCATGTTGGACCCTCATGGCTATATAATCCAGCCCCTGCCTCTCCCCCCAGGCATAACGCTAGTCGTCAAGTCATTTTAGAAGACAGAAACCTTTATCATCCTCAGAGCTCCAGCATATTCTAGGGCATAGCTAGTTAGGCTAGTGTGGCAGAACCGCCTAATCTAATGCCTTCTAGGAGTACTTGTCTTCCATTAGACACTAAGTACTCAAGGAAGAACACTAAATTACATAGTTCCGTCGGGCACACCCCCAGAGGAGAACCTGAAAATCCACATTTTCTCATCAGGATCATAAATGAGGGAATAAAGCTTACAATATTTAAACATTTTTTACATCACTTTCCATGTAACATCAGAGTATAATATTTAAAATTTATAATAGCGAAACATGAACACGTTATCAGAGTTATGAACAATTTAAATTAACAGCGAAATATAAACATGAGATCAGAATTACAGCGGAAATAAATAGCTATTCATGGCATGATGAAGCATTGATAAATAAACTAGGACAACAAATTATAAAACTTTCATTTATAA